GGCACTGCCGGAACCGGGACACAGGAGATCCTGGCTCCCGCCGGGCGATGCCTGGCTTCTAGCTCACACGAAACTCGCTTTTTCCACCTCAGTCTACCCCCCCGGCCGCAGAACTTACCGTCCGTGCTACCGAGGCGTGCAGAAAGTTTCCACAACACAACTGCAGAAGGAATAACCTGTAACTCCTTATGATCCACAAAGACGCACCTTCCATGTAAGCGCATATCTGATCTCTGACAAGTTCAGTAAAACCTCACTTTCATTTCTGCAGCATGATTAATGGTGGATCTGAAACGCTGAATTGTGAAGCATGGCTTACGACTATATTATCTACACTAAACAACAATTTCCAGATCCATTTCGGATTTCCCCTGTTCCATTAATTTGCTGATAGGAAGCCTTCTGCATAAAACATTTAGGTTTCAGAAGCATAGTAAAGGTATGAATACAATAATTGACTTCATTTTCAAATGGCTCTGCAGAGGACGGTTCCCAGTCCTGTTGGAAGCAAGTGACAAAGAGCCTAACGACTATGGGGGAGGCAGAGACACTTAACAACTTCAGTGGGGTTTGGATCATTAACAGTAATTGAATGTAGGACTCCAGGCCAAGTTTTGTCTTCAAATAAGACCAATTAGAGACTGAGACATTCAACTTAGAGGGACACTTTCATGCGTTAACCTTGCCTCCATTAGTTATGTAGCGGTATGGTTTTTTGACCTCAATCAAATGCATTTGGGAGGAAAACTTACTGACCATTTAATCTGAAGATTAGGAAACAAAAGATTTTAAGCAAAACGTTGTATTGTGTGTCTTTTGCTGTTACCTTGAATGCAGCTATGCAGTGCAGGCTGAGTAATGTCATCATTAGCACCAGGAACACTGTGGCTAAGTTCCTTGCATCCCAGATGGACTCGACCAAAGGGATGCTGCCGACCTGCCAGTCGTAGCACAGGGTGATTGGTGCCAGCAGAAGCCACGCATTGAAGGCCAGAAGGTAGGAATAAGTTAGAAACCTGCAAAAGAAAACAGGTAACATAATTCGTGGAACGACTGCCAACACATGAAACACCTTCCTTTGGCAATTACTGCATACTGCATGTGAGGAGTTAAAAAAAAAAAAGTTCTGCACACACAGGCAATACCATACCTCTGTCAATAAAGAGATGCTAACATAGGTGAGGGGCATGCCAAAGGTCATTTAAAGAAATAACATAAGATCAATAATATATAATATATATTTACAAGGTTTCTAAGCATCAGCCTTTGGAAAACAAACAGAACTTCATCTGCCATTTGAATGCTAGATTTCTGAAGTGACTTTCTACGGGCTTCAATAATAAATAAATAACAACTAAACAGGTACACATATATTAAACCGTTACACAGTTCACTGCATCACTCCTGCAACACAAAATATCACTTTAACTGGGCTTAACTTACAATTTAGGATTTCACCTATGCACACAATATTGAGCAATTAAAGTCAGATCTCTCTGTCTTTTCTCTTTGCATCCTGACATAAAGAGAAAATACAGAAGAAAGGAGGCACAGGGTGATCCTTGGCTGATCTCATCACAGCTTATGAGGGCTGGGGACAGCTTGCATGAGATGTGCCACAGAAGTGATAGAGAAGTAGGAAGCTTTTCAAATTATTGTAATCTTCATTAACTGGTATTCTCAATGGAGAGGAAATTAATGGGGAATGGGGAAATGGGGAACACGCTGCCCTCTGGGAAGGGGGTGCATCTGGGAAGGATGCAAGGCTTTCAGAAGACTGAACAAGAACAGCATGTGTGTGACTGGGCTAAAGAAAACAAGACAAAAATAAAAAGAAAACATGAAAAAATAAAATCAAACCAACATCCCCTCTCCCCGCAAGCCTTTTGCTGCTTGGCACCTACTTGCCTAAAAGCGCATCCCCCTCAAACCACATTTCAAAAGTTCAAATACTTTTGTGTGCAAGAGTCTGGAGATTATTCCAGCAATTGTGAAGTCAACTAAGCAAAATTGCAACATCCTTAGAACAGACAAACCCTTCCTTGGTTTGCAAATGGAAAAATCCACATTGTACACAGCACCAAAGACGGCAAATACTCAAAAAGAAATGAAAATATATTCTGTCCTGCACAGGATTTCTTCTGTCTGAGCCTGCTTTGGCTGTTGTTATCACACCCAGTTGCCATGGTACCTTAGCAGGTTGATTAAAACAATAACAAAGGATGCCCAAGAGATGTTAAGCCACGTAGACAGAGGATCATTTCACTTGCCACTTACAAACATACCTCCTTGGGGTCAAAACGCAGCCCCTTAAAACAGCACTTACAACATCATTTATATTTGTGGCAGAAGGCGTAAGACACTTGAAGCTAAATATGACTCCACGCGGGCAGGATGGAAGTTCCCAGATGGGTGCTAGGCCAAGACACTGGGATGAAACAGGCCTAAATTTTTGTGAAAACATTTTTAAATAACCACAAACAGTTAGGATATCAGTTTCCCTTCTCATTTGAGAAAAAACAAACGCCTCCAGCAGCACAGCAACCCAAAAGCAGGGAAGCTTACAGAGCTGGAATAATGTTTCATTGTAAACAGTGGAAAAGGCAAGTTCTCATTTCCCTGCTAATCTTTCTACGCTCCAAATTCTGATGGAAATAAATAGTCCCACATTTTTAAGGTTTTCAGTCATTTGGTATATTTCTCTTTCATCCCCCCATTTTCCTCCCCTTCCCTACCCTGAGATAGTAAACAAGGGGAAAAGCAAGAGAAAATCCATCTTCCCTCTTAACAGAGGCGGTGATTAAAAAGCCAGTTTCTATTTAAGAAAGCATCCTTCAAAAACATAATATAATTTTACTCAAACTCTTCTTAAATTTTTGATTGTTCCCTATTTCTAAAGAAATAAATGTGTCTTTTCTAGTCACCAAGCCAACCTTTTCTGGCCTGCATTACAGAGAGGCACAGCAACACAAAATCTGGTGGAGCTTAATGACACCAAGGCACTCGCTCGTGATGTTGTGTGGCCTGGCCCCACCTCTGCTGGGCCGCAACACAAAACAGATTTCTGTATCAGCCTCAGTACGACGTCAGCTCAGAAAAGGTTGCCAGCGTTTCTTTACAGCTACTCACTTAAAAGCCAAACCGAGATCCACTTCTAGCTTTACTCTTAAAATAAAAAAGCATGTCCATTGATGCCAATCTGAATAATGGCATGGCATACGATATTGTTACAAGCGTGTATATTAGGATTTTCAGAACTGTTGAGTTAGTTTTGCACTTGATGCCTTAGGAGAGCCCGGTTTTTGGAGGGAGTGCCCTTTTATGCCCTGGCATATTAACATTTTCAATAAGGATCACAACATTCACTCAAGTTTGCATGCAAACCACAACCACATCAGAAACCCTCCCCTGCTCACTCAGGCTGGGCTGCTGGGTAGGAAGGAATGAAATGACATTTGGGATCTTTGCAAACCGCAGCACTGCGGTCAGAGACGGACTAGTTGCTTTTCTGCATCTTCACTGATAAGGCTGGAGCTGATAAATCATTGCACAGCACAGAATAAATAAACACAGTCTGCTGCCATAACAAATCTGAGTCAGTTTAACAAATTTTAAGAGGAATTAGGGGTGGCCAGATGAGTGTGTACTAATGCACTTCTGCTGGAAGGTTAAGACAAGCTGCTGTTGAAGATGAGAAGATACGCTCCAGGACGCACACTGAGCAGGAGAGGTTTGTAAACAAATCTCTCTTTTCCTGTGCAATAATTAGTGTCTTAAATACACTTTGCCAACAGTGGTGAACTGTTTTAAAGCCTGTGACAGTCATTACCATCTATGTATGGTTGACTGGTTCACCTCTCCAGGCAACCTACTGGTGAACCCTTGGCCACGTTTCTCATCGTCAAGCCTGAAGGCTCTCAATGAACATGCACGTGCCAACTGCAGAAGCAAGATCCAGGAGGGCACTGCCTGATTTTAGGAGGCATTTGTAAGCTGCAAGAAAGCCTTGAGCGAACTCTGATCCAAACAAAAGTTTGGATGCACTTTCGGCATTGGTAACCTGCCCTTGAACACAATGGATGGCTGTATAAAATAAACCACTGCAAACTATTGCTATTCTAGGTACTAGGAACAGAAAAATAACAAGATGCTAATAATAGTTACTGACAATTCAGTGCTGCTTTTTACTTATGGCTCTTGAAAGCATGTGATATTCCTTTACATCTCTGTGGCTCTCATATCACAAGGCTAACTGGGGAAAAAAAATAAATGCAGGAGAAACTCTGGAAGAACACTCTCACCAAAGCTGACACTGCAAGGAAATAATTTGCAAATTTTTAAAAGACTCAAAGATTCGTGGAATCGTTCCAGGAGCTAATTACATTTCCGCAGCCTACCTGCAAACAGCAACAAAAGTATTTTCTTTTAATTAGTTGACTAAGTGAATGACATTTTAAATTAATCATCTTCTCTACATTGCTGCTCATGTCTTCTGGAATTCCAAGGGCAAAAAATCCCTGCCTGTAAAATCTCCTGCTCTATCAGTTAATCCCAGACAAGACAAAGTATTACTGGTGAGGTGACTGGAAGAATCCGTCTCTTAATTGGCAATCAGTTTTCCCCCAGGCTGGTTAGCAGCATTTGCATTACAGCAGTCTTTTTCTTTTTAATTTGCGAATTGAACACGGAAATCCAAGTTTCAGTGGGTATCAAATGTTTCTTTTCACTTCTCAGCATTTCTGGCATGTTCAGAAAAACAGAGCTCCTCCTGTAGGTAGCAGGTGTTGTCATGGTAATCCACTTTGTTTAGTTTTGAATTTTTTAGTTTAAATCTACTGTTGCACGCTTTGTTTGAGATAAATACAGGATGACTCATATCTAGAACCTGTTGCAGAAAACAACTATCTGAAACATTCGCTTCTGCTGCAAAAACGCCAGCAAAAGGTGCTACTTAAAGCCATAAACAATACAACATAAAATACTTGAGGGATTGTCTGTTACCCTTTGCTGTAATAGAGACTAACGAGCTTGGAAAAGCCCTAGTCTCAGCTCTGCCAAACCGAGGCAATTAGTGAACATGGGGATTGTGAAACTAGCTAAAAAAATACAAGATTTACAGAAATTTATGAGGAGTTTCATTTGCTTTCTGATTTTGGAGAATTTTAAGCTATTTTCCCCCAGCTCCCAGGGTCTGAGATTATAGCTTTCCTTCTGAAACTGTGCTACATGAGTGATCACAAGACTCAGGCCATGCCCCACCGAGGCCGCATGGAAAAGTGGGGACCAGTGACCCTATTCTTTCCAGGTGCATACAGTGGTGCAACCTACCACCTACCCAGTTGTGGGACAACCCATCGCATTCCTGACAAACAACACAAGGCCACCTTACCCCAAAGGCCCAACAAGGTATGCACCCGCCAGTAGATGATGTTCCTGCACTGCAGGGTTTACAGCAAGGCAAAGTATTCTCCTGGTTGGGGAGGGGAGGATAGGGGGAAAGATTTATCAAGAAGAGAGGTGATAACAATGCACTTAACTGGTATTTGGAAAAAGAAGGGGTGTAGAAAGAAGGAGGCAATCTGAAACAGAAGGAGGAAGATAGTCCTTGCCCTTTCAGAAACCAGGAGACCTCGTTAATGTTCTTCTGAGAAGATTTGTGCACTGCCAGGGACTCAGGGAAGGTTCAGTTCAGCGTAAGGGTGAGAAGAGCTCCTTTATTAGGGAAAAAAGATTCTCACTTGCATTAACAGCTGAACTGATTTCAGCTTAAGGTTCTCTTCATCCCCTACAAAGCCCTCAAACCAAGTGTGTTCAATGAGCCACTTCACAATAATATCCTCCCAGGACACATGTGGCTGCAATTATAACCAGGTGGTGGTATTTAAGGATATTGTCTTAAAATTGTATGTATTTGTGCTTCCCCTGGGGAACTGCCAGTCCAGTCATACCTTCCCACATGAGTTTATTTTCCTGCTCTGTATATTGTCAGCCTAAACATTTTCTTTTCATAGCCTTA